TCTCTGGTCTTCCTCTTTCTGGATCTTTTCATCCCTGCTTTGCAATTAGCTCCCAATAAAAATCATGAGTTCTTAATCCATGCCAGGAAAGATCTCAAAGATGTCAATCTTCATATACTGTCGGGCTGTGGGAGCTACATCAGACGTGAAAATCCACCAGATGAACAAATACACCAAAATCATCTAAATAATTTTTTTGATTCAAGTTCTGGGATATTCCACTGATCTCCATTTCAGTTTCTGGCTCTCCACAGGTCAGTCAGAGGTCAGGCAAGGACTCAGAAGACCAAACCCAGAACAAAGGCAAAGGTGGGATTCTGTAAACACTTATGACTCTGAGACACCAACAACAGCTTGGCAGTCTGGCAGCCATGTCAAATCAGAGATGATGAAAACCACTTGTGAAACTCTATCACTGAGATTTACAACAGCTGGACTCAGTTTACCTTTCCCAAGGTAATTTCTAACTCGGTGCATAAACAAAAAAAAAGTCTGGACCACCAAACCAGGCCTTTATTGAAGCAGTCATTTACAAAAGAACAGTGAAAGAGATGAGAGGAGGACTCTGGAGGAAGTTCAACAAATGTCTGTGTTGACATGGCCTTTCACTCAACACTTCCCAGCCTGTCCTTATCAGACGTTTGTTCCTTAACCAATGAAATGAACAAACCAGAGTTACTGGTAAGCACAGCAAAGGCCTTCTTGGTTCGGCACCATCGCCCTCTAAAGACAGGCTGCAGCGTGCTGTGTGGTGTGCAGAGGAGACTATCAGACTCACACTCACCTCCCTCACAGACACATCCCAGGTCACAGAATGGGTGAGATACCGTCTGATCCCGCTCACCCCTGCCAGCTGCACTCCCATGTTATGGTAATGCAATGACAACTTCTTGGTTCTTTTGTTTCACTACAGAGTCTGATATGCTGCAAACTGGGGAATGCAGAACACCAGACTAACCCATGTGCAATGTAAAACACAACTTCTCTCAGCCAGTCCAGTTTGGTTTAAAAGGTTTGTGGATTGCAAGCCAACCACTGCATGATTGTGGGGAAAAACACTGAACAATCAAACTAACCACAACTTATATCTTTACAAAAGGAAACACAAAATCAATTAAGCACAGTAAGTACATGTTATACTTCTTCATGTATATGTTGATTACCAGACTAAAGAGAGTTTGTCAAGAGATATGGGGCTGTTTTATTGCACTGGCAGATATTTTAGACATTCATAGTACTGTGTTAAATGGATATGCAAAATCTGCACCAACACACAGCTGATAAAATATGTTGTATGGCTGCCAAGAGCTTCAGGTGAGACAGAAATCTTTTGTACTGTGCTACAGTGATTATAGTGACATAGTCCATGTCTCTAATCGTCACTGAGCCTGAATCATTTTTCCGAAAGTTAGCAGGACATTAGTGCCAAACGTTTATAATCTGAAAACGTGGCTGCCATGGCTACATTCAGACTGCATTAGAAAAATGTCAGCAACCTTTACCATAAATGGATATTTCAGGCATATTTACCATTATTGGACAGCTGAAGTGACTGATTATAAAGTCATTAACTGTTTTAGAAGGTATTCAGTTACATCAGTCTGCTCAGTCGTCCCTCTGAAACCTAAATCTGATTAGCTATGAAAGCCATAAACATGAGGCCTGCCAAGAGCTATATTTCTGCAGTCACCTGAAAAAAGTCTAGGTCTGAAAAATGCAACTCTGAAGGTAGAGAAAAACAGTAAAAGGAATAAAATTACTAAAAATCATTAAAAAATTTTTTTTTTTTTTTTGCTGTCCCCATTGGCACTGGCTCCTGAGCTGGCAGCTCCAGTGCACTATGACCACTGCACTTGTTTGACTGCCACATTCCCTCTTTCTCATTACTCACTCAGACCAAAACATCACATTTCCTGGCAGATACTCCTCTATGCCAGAATATTGTACTTCTGTTCCCAGAACTGTGCAACAAATCCAGTGAAAACCTCTTAAATGTCTCTCCTTTGCGCTCTCTCACAGGTACACGCTGTATTCCTCCAGTCCAAGTCATTCTGCATAAACAAGCTACTGAAATTACAAGAAAAGATTTATTTTGTAATTGTGTCTTTTTTACTTTCTAATGGACTTAAGATCATTGTGAGGGCACTCACTGACATAATGCACTCCCTAGCCCCTAACCATTGCAAATAAAACTGAGCATTAACCACTGAAACTTCCATTAGACTATGTGTTTACCTACCCGAGTTGTACTTCATGCTTTATTGCACGTCTTTATGGGAGTGTGTACAAGTATCGATATGAGTCTCCCAGGACCATTTCTGTATTTTAAAAAGGGATGTGATATATTGTTTATTAGCACCTAAATTAGCAGAGGTGTTGCAGCTGAGGCTTTTTTCAGTGTCATGTGAAAAAGCACAAATTATTTGACAATGTATATTACCTTATTTTGTGAAAAAGCCATCCCTCTAAAATGTCTGTACTTGATTTTAGGTTATTTAGAAGATTTCAAAGGGCTTTATGGCTCAAAGTACACAAAATCCACTGAAGAGAAACTAAATTTCATAAACAGCATCTGTGTTCTCTGCACTCTGATATTACAACATATCATACTGAAGCACAGGTGCTGGAAAAGCAAAAATAAAGTAAAGCAAATTATAAATGGTGACCGTGTTGCTGACTCCCCCTGTTGGTCGATTGTATACAGCAGATGTGGTAATCAGTATCTTAAACTTATTCACATCATTGACGTTCATCCCAAACCACTGAAGCCCTCTGTATCTTTTTACATCTTACTAGAAAACAAGAGGCAAAACTGCACAAAATTGCAAAGTATTGTGACGCAATTTCACAGGGCCTCGCTCATCAGGGCCTGTTCCTGTCACATAAAAGCTGCGTCAACAAGAACACATGAGCCAAACCTCCCACAGGAAGCCACTGCGTTTTAGCTAGAACAAGACAGCAGACATGTAACGAGACGTCCAGGGGCCCGTTTCAAGAAGGAGGTTTTGTTGAAACTCAGAGTTTGTTAACCCCGAAATGAGGAAAACTCGGAGTTTTCGGTTTCAGAAACGGAGGTAACTTAAACCCGTGAAAGCGGGGTAAGTTAAACCCGTTTCAAAAAGAGAGGTAATCTAAACTCAGAGTCAGTTACTATGGCAACTTACTCTGTGAACCTAACCTGCTTGGGAGCAGGTTTTGTTCGGGAAACCCAGAGTTTCCTCCGGGTCTCCGCCCCTTTTTAAAGTGAAAGGTGTTTAATACCTCATTTAATCTTTCAGTACATTCATAGATTGTACACGTTTCCGTCACGCAGAGACCAAAATGGCGTGTCCATTCATAGAGGATCCTGTAGAGGAGGACGCTGTATTAATTCGCAGGGAATTGCATTTACGTCGGGAGAGGATATTGAGGCCACGAGTTGATTTTTTGTCATATCCCCATGTATTTTTATTTGAGCGGTACCGTTTGTCTAGAGAGTCCATAACATATATCAATAATCTTATCCACCCATACATCAGACACATCACCCATCGTGGCCGTGCTCTTACATCCGAGCAGATGCTTTGTGTTGCGTTACGATTTGTTGCAAACGGCAGTTTTCTTTATAACATCGGGGATGCAGAGCACATTAGTAAGGCCACAGTATGTAGAATAGTTCGGAAAGTGTGCCTCACCCTCAAGCGCTTTCTGTGAATTTTTGTTGGGTTTCCTGGGCACAAACCCCTCAGAGCCATTAAAGAGGAGTTTCACAGGATTGCAGGTTAGTGGTATTGAATTCGTTTCAGTAAGGCTAATCTGAAAAATGATGATCAGTTAATAACATCTTGATGTGACCTCTGGAAATAAACTAATAATTAGAAGCCCCTTCAGGATTTCCTAATGTGGTTGGATGCATTGATGGCACACATATTCCCATCAATGCACCTACATGAAAATTAAAATTCAATTCTTATATTATCACATCAGTGTTGGGTCAATTTTAAAAAAGTATTTTGATTAATGTAATAATTACTCTCCATAAAACATACTGGATTATTTATTAATCATTACTTTACAAATCCCATATCAACCACAATAGGAATTTTAAGAAAGGGTAGACATAAAACTGCACTTTTAATTCGTACAAAAATCGGTATTTTATGCAATTACTGAAGTTACTCATTCAATTATTGAAGAATTAAGAACCATTCCTTACTTTACAAGTGACAAATAATAACAATACTAACATTATTTAGTAATTACTTACACCGAACACTGTATGATTAAAATGTAAACGTACCCATTGACTCGGGCAGCTATTTTCCCCCAAGCTAACTCTTTCTCTTTCGCCACTGCAGCCGTGTTGTTTTTTTGTTTTTTTTTTACGAAATATGGGCTCGTAGTCACTATATCCTTGTAGTAGCACATCCATTTCTGTCAGGGAAAAACGCAGACCTATTTTGGCTTGGTCCTGTTGCCATGGTGTGGCCTATCTTCGGTAAACTCCGGCAGACTTCGGTGTTTGAACACAAACTGGTTCAAATTAATTCGCTGTTACACCACAGAGTGGCGCTGTTTCACACATTTGCCGGAACAATGAAAAATGGATAAGATACTGTACGTTCATGAGGATGAAATAAATAATGCCTGTTATGACAAAGATAAATAGTGAAGATTTTGCTATTAAAATGACAGCAAAAGCTTCATGTCCTGAGAGAAAATACCACTGCACTAGCTTATGATTTATGTATGTTTGATGCCCCAATAATACAAGTGCCCTTCAGACCCCTTTTAACTGAGAATAATTTATACAAACAATTCAAGGGGCCCAGAAACCACATCTAAAACCACCATACTAATTAAAATAGACCAATCCAACAACCCCATTCAACTTTCTTTGTTCCGCAGCCATGTCGTGATGCCACTGCCACAATGGGAGAGGAGGGGAACTGAAGTCACAGCAATTTCCACACCTGCTGTGTTTTCATAAGAGGGCAGGCAAGTGCAGCAAAGGTTAAACTATAGAATAGTACTGTTTAAAAGGCAATTGCTATAGCTAATCAGCAGCAAATCTAACGTAAGGGGAAAAGCTGTTAAAATCATTTGATTGAGGCAGGCTTACTGGCATAAAGGAGGAAAACATAAATGTCTAACTCAGAAGCGGACAAAATATGCAGTCCCAGCTGCAAATCCATTTACCTGCAGAAGACAAACAGCTGACATACTAGACATCAGCTGTCACTGCTATGAGCAGAAGAAACTGGACAGAGTACAGGCTAGTAAATTATTTTAAAATCCAGAAAAAAAAATAGAAACTGGCAAGGTTGAGCTCATCAGAAAAAAATAAGCACTTGTCCACATTTTAAATAAATTATTTCAACAAACTGAAACCAGGGGCCTCCCTCAGGTTCACTTCCACCTGCTGTGGCTTATTTTACCAGCTGAGCTAAACTGAAAGAAACAGGACAGACCGACAGGATGACACAGGCTTAAACAAATCTTTAAAAATATATGCAAAAGTAGGTGAACAGACAAAATGAGAATTTATAGGGAATCAGTCACAAAACTGCAACAGGATGTTAACTGACCATTCAATAATCCTATGATAAAAACAGCAGACTAAAGCCTTGGATATGATACAATACAATGCACAAACAGGTTTAATCAGTGGTTTGGTGTCACTGTCCTGTCACCTTGTTCTGTTACAGTTCAGAGTGAGTGTCAGGAGAAGGAGAGCCGGAGGAGGAATCTGTTGCTTCTTCTACCACCACATCATCTTCCACATTCACCTCTTCCTCCTCCTCCTCCTCAGGAGTTTGCTGCTGGGCAGACCTGGGTTTCTGTATGTCCATAATTTTCAGGAAGTCGTAGAAGTCGACAGCAGGCGGCCAGCTGTCCTCACCCAACATCCCTACACAAAGGTGTATATACACAGAAATGACAATGTACACTGTGATACAAGATTAAAGAAGATGCTGTTCTTTAATCAAATGCAAGCAGCATTTGCTGGCATTATTACCATTGCTAAGTCTGGTTCTTATGTAATTCATTATGGATGTGCTGTCAGCTAGAAAACATCTAGATGCACTCAACAGCAGATGCTAAAAGGGTCTTGCTACTAAAATAAGTTGAGAAGCAAAGGGCTAATTTTAGAATGAACAGAGGGAAAATGCCAAGAGCTGAGTTGATGATGACTAATGAGACTGCAGACTACAGTGAGTGAGACACTATTTGAATTATTAAGCAATATACAGTACAGTAGGCCCACAGTATGTCCCTTTGGGCTCTCAGCAGCAGTGACATTAGCTGGACTTTGACACATTGGTTTTAGTAACATTTGCATACATCTTTGATTATTACTTTAAATTCAATTAAGCATTAAAATCTCATGTAGTCTAGTACACAATAATGTTGCACTCTATTTTTGTAACTCCTCTCTTTGGTATCCAGCACCGGTTCCTCCTTACCTGCTGGTGATTCAGTCCCATACTCGATCCTCTGCAGCCACTGCAGGACAGAGGGGGCCGTGATGTGTGTGGTGGGGGGGTACTGATAGATCTCACCTCCAGAAGGCAAATGTGTGAGGACCAGAGCAGGGAGGGGGGGCATAGAACCCAGGTATGACCCCAGGACAGACATACCAGCTGGAGTACGGCCGCTGGAATACACGCCAATAAAATATACAGTGTCTCATAATTCATTGATGAATAAGGATTTTGATGAATGACTCATGCAGTGACTGATAACACTGACTGATGTACATACAGGTGGATCCAACAGGCCAGGTACTGATCCATCCTCCCCCCTCCCGACTCTACCACTCGTCTCATTTCCTCCACCAGCACCTGGTTCTGCCTCCGCCCAATCTCGTCCTCCTCCTCTCCCACAAAAAGGAGGAGTAAGGCTTTTCCCAGAGAGAGGAAGGACGGCAAATTTTCCACTGTCAGTTCAGGCTGAAGAGAAAACAGAAATAACAAGGAAAGAGGAAACTTTATCCCAGTGATTTCAAATGGAAAGTGTCTTTGTACAGTCGAAGCCAACAGGTAGCTAGTTGATAGCCCAACAACATGCACAATAAAACAGAAGGGTCAGAGAATGTTTGCTAGTGGCTTTTACAAAATTGGGACAAAGCCCAGTTTCTGCTAAACATCTGGATTTAAACATCAGTGATAATTCCTGTTTACAGGTAAAATTAATTGGACATCCATTACACTGAGCTAAGACTGTTGTCCTCTACATATGGCAAAATGTATGTCTTGCACACATGATAGCTATTATCAACTATTTAAATCTCTTTAATTATGAAATAAATCTCATGAGGAAAGGCAAAATAAACCCCAGGACTTCCCCAGTAGGAACCAGACCCTAAACCACACTATTACCCTTCAACTATTTACTTTCACCTCACTCGAAGCTAATTGGGAAACAAATTCATCAGCACAAAACAGCACAATAAACTCTCAAAGGGTGAACTGAGCTTGTCTTGTTGAGCAACATCTAGATTAGAGACTGATTCCACATGGGTTCACTGCACTGGGTTCCAAAAACAAATGTAAACTCACACATGATGCCTTACTCTGATGTTGGATATACTGAGAGAACCACATCCAAACTGTGTAAATCCACATAGCTGCTTGTTATGTGTGACATACTGTGAACGATTCCATCTTGGCTTTCACTAATGTCTAAGAAGTTACACCCACACCATTATTTACAGCTGTTTCATTTCATGTGACCTAAATGAAAATAGGCTCACAGTCTCTTACATAACATGGGATTTTTAACTTTGGCTGCATTACTTTGGCCATTAAATCCAATCAGATACAGTTTCATTCTCTGTTAGTATTTCTCAGTGCAAAAATGACCATTTACCATTGAATGGAGCAGAGCAGTGTTAATATGTGTGAGCAGCACTTCAGCAGAGGAGGGCACAGGCAGCGTGGTGGGATGAGAGTCCGTTCTCCAAGATGGAAACGCCAGCACTGCAGGAAGGTCCACCATGTGGTCTGCAGCCCTGCACAACCAATGTGCACACACATAGAAAATGTATCTAAAATATAAATGTAATAAATATCAATTAAATGGTGAAAAGTAGGAGACAATGAGGGTCAGCACAAGGTGACTGGATTTTAAGCAATTGGAAGAAATTCAAGTATCACTAATTTAACAACAGAGGCGCTTAAGAGGAGACTGAATTACCATTTCTCTGCCAGCCCATCTGTCAGCAGTCCAGTCAGAACCTCTCCTCTCAAGGACTTTGCAGCTTCAGTAAACACCAACACTCCTGGAAAGACAAAAGTATCACACTGACAGAAAGGGAATGTCAGTAGGTCTTGAAGGCACATTTTGAAAGAAGAGATACTTCTGCAGTACGTCCAAGTATCATGTGTGTCTAAAGCCTCAGATATCTTACTCCTCTGTGTCATAGATTGTTATTAATAAGCCACTGAAAACCCAGACAGGAGGTTGTAGTGTATTTTGAGTCATTGTGCGTACACATTTCTTCTGCTGAAAATACTCACTGAGGCTGAGTTCACACTGGCCTTAGCACTGTGCCAAAGCAAAAGACAAAGCTAACCAAGTCACAGCTTGTGGTTATATCATAAAGGGGAGACTCTTTGTCTTTACCTTTATTTTACACATTTCTGAATCCATATAAAAGTGAAAAGAATTTCTTAAAATCAGCCAACAATGTGCAGTGATTATGCATCACAGCAACACACTCAATTACAGGCTCCTACCTGCATGTGTTTGTGCTTTAAACAGTCCCAGGACCCTGTCAAGCTTGTAGCCTGCTAGCTCAGGGTGAGGCACTTCCTGAAGAAAAGATGTTACTTCTTCCTGGGTGGACAGTAGCACAGGAGAAGCAGCACAACATCTGGATACAGAACAGTCAAAGTGCACCACAGTCATGCACATGTGAGTAGACAAAAACAAAATTATTACATGTTACAACCACATACACCCCACAGAGTCATTTTTATATGGTAAGAGACTGACCAGCTGTATTCTTAACCAATAAAATAAATTAATTTGTATTAAGACATGTCCCTGTGTTTAGGGGATAAAACATCTGGTAGAAAATCTCCTGAGTTCTAAACAACATGATATCAACTCAACTCAACTTTATTTATAGAGCACTTTAACACAGCCAGAGCCAAACAAAGTGCTTAACATAAGATTCCATTTAAAACATGTAAACATATGAACTACATAATAAAAAGAATAAAACAACCATAAAATTAAATAACTAAATCAAAATAGCACAAAGTACTATCCAAAACCAGAACCCAAACAGTATCAAACGCCAAGGCATACAAATGGGTCTTCAAGTAAGTTTTAAAAGTGGCCAATGAGGGGGCCTGCCTAATATAAAGAGGCAGCACATTCCATAGCTTAGGAGCCACAACGGAAAATGCTCTGTCCCCTCTAGATTTACGCCTAACCCTTGGTACCCCGAGCAGGAGCTGATCAGCTGATCTGAGGCACTGAGATGGACTATAGGGAGATAAAAGCTCAACAAGATACGATGGAATGGTGCAAGACCATTTAAAAACAAATAAAAGAATCAGATTCCTGTAGAGTGAGAATACATTTGTAAAAAAGGTTGATAATGGCTTGTTAGTGAAGCTGTAATGACATCCAAGACAAATATCTATGCAAGGACATTCAAGGTTAGATTTATTTCATTTTCCTTGACTTCCTTGATCAAATACAGAGGTTTTAGAAGCCCCAGAATATTTACACTCTGGTTACTGTTTGCTTGTATGTTGTTGATTAACAGGTAGTTTGTTTCTTCCATCGCTGTACTCTTTGCAACTAAATGGATGAACACATTATCAACTGTAAACCCTAAAATGTAATATCTGTTATTAAAGAGGTACTCAAGCAAATTAGTACTGTATTAGTACTTTCACCTGATACAACTTGATAGCGTCTTTCATTAGACCCTAGCTTTAATAGTGAAAACTGGTGGAAATATTATTTGTTTATTCTACTGTTGCACTAGATTATAAGAGTGCTTAAGAGAATGTAATTGTTGTAATTCAACACAATTTATCTCCTGATGATGTACGCGCCAAGAAAGCTTCTCACAGCATGATGAAGCGATGAAGCGCCACGCTTCCCAGCATTCCTCTGTAGTTCTGGGCCGACTCCTGGGACCGAAACACCAAGATGCTGGGGAAAGCTGTGATTGGCTGAAATGGGATTGGGAGAGAGGTGGATGGCTGAGCAGCACAGAGGTCAGTCCACTCTCCACAGTTGACTGCACTCATCTGGACATCATCAACCTCGGCCTCTGAAGAAATTGAATCATTGGGAAAGCACCTAGAATGACACATAATCTGGCAACACAAAGTCATATGAGCAAATACACATGTACATTGTGGATCACAGGTGGAGAGACTGCTAATTTTCATGAACACCCCCAAAGGCAGAGGTTTTCTAACTGTGAAGTTTGCAGAGTGAGATGTCTCATCAGCTATCCAATAAAGGCCAGAAATTCATATTCCTCAGAGTCAATCCGAACACATACACATAAGATACATCTTTTTAGATTCATGGGAAAAATCTGTTCCTTATAACTCCTGAACTTGCTGGTAAATCTGGTTGGTACATCCATGGGTACAATGCAAACAGGAACAAATAATAGCTAATTCTGCATACTTTGACCCCCACTTCCAAAATGTAAACAAATACAGACAAGCTGCAGGCCACTGAATCAGTGGTAACATTATACTTCCTGTTTACATTCTGCTAATCCCGCTGTTCCAAAATTTAGACCAAGATTACACCTGTGCTCTCCTGAGTACCTGCAAGTCTTTCTGCAACTTCAGTGAAGGAACTGAGAAAAGCCATTGAAACAGCGTCCCCTGGTGTTGGAAAAAGAAACAACAATTAATTCCACCCATCATTTGTTTTATTTGTCAGCAGGACAAGGATTTTATTTCAGTCTTACATTTGAGGTAGAAGAGCACCACTGTCAGGCTGCTTTGTGTTACTGCAGTATGGAAGTTGTCAGAAGTCAGCTGGGTAATTGAGTCCAAGTCCAGTGAGTTGGCTCGGTTTTCATAGACAGATGCTGCAATCTCATCATCCAGGCTGCCTGGAGATAGATCGAAAACCACATAAATACACATGGATAGATAATCACTATCCTTTGTTTCATTCCTCTCTTTCACTGTTATTCACTTCTTTTTACCAAAATGTAAATCCTCCTCCTCGTCCTCCAGCTCCCCATCTTCCCCCTCCTCATCCTTCTCTTGATTTGTAAAGAGCTCCAACACCTCATCAAGGTTGTGCAATGTCAAATACTTCACCTCTAAGCTCTAAAGTCACACACAGACACACAAATATAAAGCATACATGGATAAAAGTAACAAAGTAATTTAGTTAGTTTGTATCATTTGTGACCATCTCACCATCTCGGGCAGCCTGTAGGCAACATTATATTCATCAGGGGTTTTCACTGCAGAGCTCTGCCTGAAAACACACACATCCACACATTCAGTATTAAAGAAAGGGCAAAAATGCTGGTAAATATAACAGACAGTACCTGCACGAATAATATAACTGAAAACTGTAACCAGATTACATTTTGCATGGATTCAAAGGACATATACAGCTTGTGTTAGCTCTAAACAATGTCAGTAAAAGTCACAGAGCATATTCAGATCCATGCTCATACATGTACAGTATCTGAACCTCTTAAACACCTGTGAACAAGCAGCAGCAGGGCAAGGCCACGGAGTCTCCAGGCCAGAGTGGTGGCCGTGTCCAGGTCCAGGTGCTCGGTTGAGGGACGAGAGAATAGGAAGACCTGGGGGGTGTGCTGGTAGGGGAACTGGGGGGGCTGGACAGTGGAGGGGTCCTCATATACTTCAGACTGGCAGTGAAGAAATAAGAAAAAACCAATTATATTGAACTGGTCAGTGGATGTATGCAACTGGTGACAAGCAGTTAAAAGTTGGCAAGGCTTCATTTTAAAGGGTCACAGCTGAAACTTCAGATACAAAGAAATGTTCCCTCCAGTATTCTGCATTTCACTATGCCTGCTTCTATATTTCCACCCTATTTACCACTAGTGGAGCTTCCATGAGCTGCAGGAAGGAGTGAAGGCTGAGGGTGGAAAGGGGTTTCCTCATGGGGGTCAAAGGGCAGCGCTCAGAGGTCATCAGGGTCATGTGTGACATACCCTGAAGTCTACAGTGGAGGAACCACACCCCAGATGCATGAGATGATTCATTCACACTAAAGGAAAAAGGGAGAGGGAGAGACACACACTGAACTTCATGCTAAAAAGTGATGAGAGCTACAGAAAGCAGCAGTCACTGAGTCTTGGTGACTACAGAAGGGATGGAGCCATTATCCAAAATATATACCATCTGGTGTTTTGAAGATGATGTTAGAGAGCACTGTCTAATCTAATTGTCTAATCTAGCCACCTTTATGAAACACAATCTTGGATTGTGAAGGCCAAAGTATATAACTCACGTCAGACAAAAGGCAAGAACAAACTAAAGAAAAGAGAACCTACCCTAACTGTTTCAACACTGGTCCTCCTGTTATGAGGATGAACTGGTATTTGGATCCATACACATATGCTGTCTCCATCATCGATCTGTGCTCTTAAGTAGTACAACCAGCAGAAACAATACCATTCATTTGCACAGTTCAAGTCAATCATACAGTGTGTTTCCATCAGGAGCTGCAGCCTTACACACTACCATCATCTTAAATACAGTATATCAGCAATATAATAGACAAAATCACCCATATACACAGGTTGTTTAACATTTGTTGCCTCCTTACTTTACATCCATCCTCTTGTCCTTGCTCATACCTTGTGTGCCCAGGCTGCGGACGTAACCCAGCACAATATCCTTCTTCCTTCTAGCTGCCTTCTCCATAGCCAAGAGGTCAGTGTCTGTGCGGATGTACTTGACCTCTTCATGCAGAATGGCACTGCATATGCAGTGTTAAACCATATATAATAATGACATACAAGTACTACTTAGAAGAGTATACAAATATAATTTGAAAAATGATTGTGTATCATGCGCTTTAGATGCTTGATTATAACTGTAAATGTTGCTTACTTACAACAGGACTTCGGAGACTATGGAGTTGACGTCAAACACGGTGTCCAAATCCAAACCCAAAAACTCCTTACCACCCCTAACAAGAAGCAGTTTGAGACAGATGTAACAATGCTAACAAACAGCTGCTCAAAATCATTTATTAATTACGGTTATTTTGGTAAATGCAGTTTGTGGTTCTTTGTTGAACTTGCCTGAAAATAATCATATTTTTAATTTTTCTTCTTCATTAAAATCGCTAGACTACTTTTTTTGGTGACATTCCTTAGATTCAGAATGTCCCATCAACATCTTCTTATATTTGTGAAACATTTCTCTTCTCCTTTTCACAGAGAATACCCATAAATAGATGTTAATGCCTCTGGTTATTTTGTGACTAACCACCATGGAGGAATTCATGTCTACACAACCCACCTGAACAAAAAAGCCGTGTGCAGTAGCCTTTCATCTGTGCAGTATGTGAGAACCCGCTCTTTATTACAGTTGACCTAAACACAAAGCACAAAACAAACACCTGTGTCCAAATCTTGAATTAATAAAAACATTAATATCAACTTCTTCAACAGATGGGAGCAAGCAGCATGGAGGGAAGTACGGTTACCCAGTTACCTTTCCAACCAGTACCCCATAATCTTGCAGAGCTTCAGCAGACTTCTCCAACTCCACCAAGAAGAGAGAGATGGTTGGAGAGACTGCAAGCAAAGAGGGGCACAGTCAAATACTGCTATCCTTCATATGAGAGACAGTATGTCACAGACAAGTGTGTGTGTGTGATAGCTTTGACAAACACACTGCAATGCTGCTAAAGTAGACATTCTGCAAATATAGACAAGTCTGAGCTGTATATTTGAGCCGCCTACCTTTACATTCAAAATAGATAAACATCATCTTCCCAGAATGCAATTTCTCATAGAAATCTGAAGCTGTGTATTCAATGAGGTCTGATGTGTTTGCCTTCTCTGTGCATCCTCCTGACCTCGGCCACAGCAGGAAAAGAGCAACACACATCCACATCATGGAGAGAACGCTGTTGTGCTCTATGTGGGAAAAATGTGGTTATAAAGCCACGAGATACACTATTGTAATAGTATGTTGACTGTGTGTTTGGTAGACAAACGTGATAAAAATGACACTTTCTAGATGACACAGAAACGGGACCTGAAAACAAAGAGGTGATTAAAGGAGCCAGCACTGACAACAAATATGTTAGCCGAGTGTTACCTAAGAAAGTCGGGGTAGGGTTAAGCTTCAGTGAAACCACAGTTATGGCTGTGGTAAACGGAGATAACGACATAATGACACATATTTTAATCAGAAGCTTGTCGTATCTATGTAAAATCCCGAAGAAATTCCAAAAATGCCACTGTCCGCTTTATTTAGGAATGTAGCTTAGGCTGATGGATGTTCATTCAAAGCTGTCGATAACTAGCTAACGTTAATTCCAGTAAATTTATAAAATACTAATAACATTTACAGCAGCACTTCCTGTTATCACTTCAAGGTAAAAACATTAATTGTGTCAATTAAGGGGCTTACCTTGAAGTGATGCGACCTTTTTGAATGCTCAACGGACACTAAAAGTAAATTGTAGTTGCTGAAGATAGAACCGTTTCATAGATGTAAATCATGTCATTCACAATGGTTGTTGTTCCGTGAATCCATTTATCTTTTATTGTGAAGACAATCCCACTTTTCCACAAACGTTTGTTATCTCTCAGTAACTTGTTGTAACGTCTGCAGTTTGTTTTCATGCCTCTTTTTGTGAGACGCCCACGTGTTTCTCTGAGCCAATCAGATCTGGAAACATTTTTAATTGTTCAACTGACCTACCACGAGCGGGCAGAAGGTGGAGACTCCCTCAGCTGACATCATCATAAGGCAATGGAGTGAGAAACCTTTGGAGGTTGAGCTGAAAAACTGGCCAATAAAGTTGCGCACCGGAAACGTGGGCGTGACAACGTAAATTTCACTTGGAAGATTGCTCTCGGAAAGTGGCTGGAACCTGTGGCTCCGAAGAAAGCTGTCTCGCGCGAAAATGAGCCTAGTGTTGAGCCAAGATGGCGTCTACATAGCGCTAGATTCTGCGTTAATTGAGAGCAAGGGGGCGGGTCTAAAATGGCATCACAGCTGATCTGGAGGTTTGTTCCCCCCTCAAGTTGTTTTTTTGCAGTGAGCTGCTTTGCAGAGGCTCAGAAGGGTTCCTCTCTTGTTTTCTTTCGTGCTCTCTTGTTTTTTAACCCAGCGTTTTCTTTTAATTAGACGCAATGTTTTCCTCAACCCTTGCCCGATTTAAATCCTAGCGCAGTTTCATTATGTCACTTCTTTTCAGAATAAACTGCTTTTCTCGCATTTTTTCACTCGAATACCCTCGTCTTTTTGTCATCCGCGGTGAATGTAACCCAGGTCTGACCCCGTTTTAATGCTTTAGCCTTCACAGCATCACACCACCAGTGGAGATGTTTTCGTTAGGAGAGAAGGTTAATCCCCATTTGTTTAGCTCACTGAAGGAGTCCCCTGGTGCTGTAATCTCCCCAACACTGGAGCTCTGTCTCACTACCATCTACACCGTCCTCTACTCTTTCCTGTTTATTTACGTATACCTGCAGCTCTGGCTCATTTTGCATTATGGACACAAGCGATTCAGCTACCAGAGTGTGTTTTTGTTTCTCTGTTTGCTGTGGGCAGCGCTGAGGACGACCCTCTTCTCTTTCTACTTTAAGAATGTAGTGCAGGCCAGCCAGTTGCAGCCTCTGGCCTACTGGCTGCTCTACTGCTGCCCTGTCTGCCTGCAGTTTTTCACACTCTGCCTGCTCAACCTCTACTTCACACAGGTAGGACTGCAACCGTGCATGTGCATAGGCTTGTAAGACTTTGTGGGAACTCTTTGAATTTTATACCATGGGCGTGAGGACATTTTGGCCTGACACACACTGAAAGAGCTGTTTTTAAGGGTTTTGGTGTGGGATTACAGAAGTTTGGAGGTTTCCTATTAATCCAAGGTTCCTAATTCCTTGTACCAACATCACACAGCTCCCTGGGCAAAAACATCCCAAGGATGCTTACCCAATTCTAGTTATAGCATATAATTGCTTTAATTAATATTGTGCTTTTGTCACATTGAACCACCAGTAAATAAACATCAGTTATTTTAACAAAGAATGAAAGACCAGCTATTTGGCCCAGGCTCATCAAATGTGCTGGACAGTATTAGAGTTGGTTAGTAGATCAACAAAAAATTAATAATAAATTATGATAATTTAATCTATCTCAGCAATTTTTAAATGGCTTTCATAGTCCTTTTTTATGGCAAACAGTACCTTTTGGTTTTGGGTGTTGTCTGATAAAATGAGTAATCTGAGGAAGTCACCTTTGGGAAACAGTGACAGACATTGTTATTTTCTGATCATTTATAGAGTGGATTGATTCATTAAGAACCTATTAACAAAGTAGATAAATGGACAATAAAATAAATCTGTAGCTCAAAGATTCACTTTAGAAATTACTGTGCTCAGCCAAGAAATAGTGCTTGGCCTAATAGTGAGCTTTAGAGGTGCTGTTTCCTCCTGCTTCCAGTTTTTATGATGAGCTAACCATCTCCTAGCTGTAGCGTCATATACAATGGACAGACATGAAAATGTAAATGTTTCTTCTTCATCAAATGAGTAAATGCAGTGACTGTGTTCACCATTTGCCCACATGTTTCACAGTAGAGAGGTCTGACTGACTTGAAGCTGTTTTCTTTAATTCTCAACACCTACACACTTTTGGATTTTAACTTGCTAACACCATTTTAGTTTAATCACTGCTTTAAGTGAAAACACTATCTCAGTCACATGTAGGGCGAGTAGAGAAGAAGCCAGTCCAACTGGCTGAGTAGACATTAATGAAACCTGTGGTGTCATATGACTTAACACTGTAGTCCATCACCTGATCTATGGCCAGTTAAAGCATACACTCTCACTTTGAATAAACAGGAGAAGGAACGTCTCTGGTTTTTGCTGTTTGTGTTAATTTGCATGAAAGCAGCAAAACAGACTTGCTACATGTATGTGGCAACAGTAACTATTTTTACCTTTGAAATGTATGTACTTCATTCTTTTTGGACTTTGTCTAAAAGCAAAAAACAGCTGCATTAACTGGACAGGATTTGAACATTTAGGTGACAGTGTCCAGTGGTGTACTCAGTTTTATTGCATATTGTTTTTTTTTAAAGAGGGCACAGGCCAAAAGGGCTGTGATCCATTGGCATAAGCTTTGATTAACTTTTGAGACTGAATGAGATTGCATTGCATTTAAATTAATTTGGTGGTAACTGAAATTGCCCTCACTGATTGAAGTGTATAAATCATCATCACCTATGCTATGCTATGGCTCCATCACTGCATGAACACAGAAACACAAATTTAGACTCTTAGCAAGGTTATAGTCCAGTGTGATAAATAATTTGTTTAACCAATGTCGCAACACAGTTCCTGCACCAGTTCTTCACTGCTGAACAGCACTGCTCAACATGGACCTCACTGAGAGTAAGAAACGCTGAGAGCTACAGCTAATATAATATCATGCCACTGTGACATGGTCTGGTGTCTGACACACATGCATGTATGGAAATACTTGTTTCTTTGGTGAGTCAGGCATGAGCCCTGACCTGTGATCTACTTCTGCTTAAGGCATTTTAGCCCCTGCCTGCTACAGAAAGATTATGGCCATGATCAGTCAAAACACTATGTTACAGGTAGACACACACACACAAAATACATAAAATATGTAATCCAGAGGTACTCTCTTGGCTGGTTGCCTCACTTCTAGGTTACCGATTACTTCCTACTGGCCTCCAGCTTTACACAAAAGTCTGTTTATGTGTGTGAGTGTAGGTACATATGTGTGTTTGAACTGAATGTGGACAACACTGAGCAATTTTCAGGACCCTTGTGGTCATTGCATGTGTAATATAATATCAAAAATAAATTATTATTGTCATTTATCCCTTTAAGTGTCTAATAGGTACATAGATAACATTTTTACCTGTGTGATTGTAGCTCTTAATAACAGAATAATCCCAGGAAGTGAGTGAACTAGATCAGTGTTGGCCAGTGTCCCACCTTTTGTATACTCTTAAACTGGACTTATGTGCAGTTTGATGTTTTTAGGTCACTGCTGATAACATGATTTTCATCTGTAAAAAGAGAAACTTTTATTATTTTCATTGGACTTTAATACAGTTAATCCTCAGAAATATATGCACACTGTTATGTAATGGATTCTTGCTAGGATTTCTTGTTTTGCTTGCATTGGTAGAATGTTGCTGCATTGTGTGTTTTTCTATACCACACTCCTCAGGCTCTACTCGGTTCACACACTTTTAAAAGAAACCCACACCCCATTGCTCTCTTACATGCTTCACATTTCAGCCCTACAAAGGTATTGCAGAAGATACAGAAGCAGTGATGTTAAAAAAAGTTTAAAGCGTGAAGACAAGCTGTAGAACAGGTAGAAAGGTTGTAATGCCTTAATCTTATGTCTTCTCTGGACACTGCATTTTGGTTTGGTTTTTAAGTTTTGTAGTTACTGCACATTGAAAAAGCAGTTTTTACAAACATTACAAATTTTATATAATAGAGCAGGTGTCAAAGGTTTTTTCATCAAATATGTTGTTACTGAATTTTGCCTTTGTAGGGCAGATTTGATCAATTCATGAAATCTCCCCTGATCATATAACTTGTTAACCTGTCCTACAAACTGGCCTCTGGGTGATTCCAAATGTAAATTAAAACAAAAAAAAGCATGTTGAATATGTGAATTTTAGCCTGAAAACTTGTATTATACACCCGTTAATATATATCTCTAGTAATTCTGTAATTTCTTTTTTTAGGTGATGTTTAAGGCTAAAGCCAAGTATTCCCCAGAGTTCAGCAAATACAAGTAAGTCTGTACTATTACTATATTAACCTGGCTGGTTGTTATATAAATTGTTTCTCCAATTTTTCTCATCGGTTTCTTTTTTTGTCTGAACATATTCTGATAGAGGCCATTGAAATCAAGATGTAGTAAAATGCTATATCTTTATGTTTTTGACAGTTTTAGACAGAAATTCAGAATATCGTTGTATGATTTTAATAAATGATCGTCATGCTTCTCCCTCCTTCACAACTACAGTCGGCTCTCTCTGTCTGAGTGTTCTTCTTCCACACACTTGGTTTGCAGATTCAGCAGAGCAATATGAATTTTAATTAGTTGTTGTCTATGAATAAAGTCATATTTTTTGGCCAACCTCTTACTGTTTGTCTTTCTTTCCTCAGGGTTCCTCTGCGCTTGTTGTTCCTGTGTCTCAGTATATTTTTCTTGGTGGTGAATTTAACCTGTGCATTGTTAGTGCAAGGAGCTCTGGAGCGCTCTGAGTCACCAAGGTAAACGGACAATTCCATTAACTGAACATTTTGCCCTTAAACATATATAGCCTTCTCAGAAGACTTGTAATTGTCTTACTCCAATAACCTTTATATCTCCAGTGATGGGGGTATCAGACATGCAGTCCTGGCTCGGGTCCTGATCAACGACGGTCTGTTTGTCCTGTGTGCTGTCTCTCTGGCCGTCTGTATCTTCAAGGTCGCCAAGATGTCCTCTGCCAACGTTTACCTTGAGTCCAAGGTAGAAATAAAACTCATTTTAGATTGTATTTCATTCAGGCAAGTTCTTTTACAAGTGCTTTGTATTGACACAAAATTTAACATTTGCATTCATAAAGTAATATATCAAAAAAGATATTTTGGTATTCATTATGAAATTCAGGTTTTGTATAGAAAGTGTTTACCTAGAACATAGCCACAAAAACTTGTATGGACATTTTCTGTATTTAGAAATGATGCAAGTTGGCGGACACCGATAAAATAACTGAAAAAGGGCTAAGCTTAGCCTAGGTTGATCATTTTCTATATTAATAGTATTTTGAACAATCCCCATACACAGACTAAAACCAACAATGAACTGACTTTAAGTTACTCACGGTTAAGCTCTATGAAAGGGAATGAAGACCCCTGATTTTCACTATTATTTAGACCTGTACCGATGTTTAAATGTTTACCTCTAAAATCCATTTGCTTTTGGTAATTTTGGTTATGGAGAGGCCTCGTGGGTGGATCACATGTGTGGCCCATATTTATGGAGATAAAATACTATCAAAAATGTTACAAATGTGTGTTTAACGTTTTGTCTGTAACAAGCGATTTGTGTGTGTGTGTCATGAGGATCACAAATGTGTGCCGCGCAATCTGCACGTATAAAGCCATTTGTGTGTGTGTGTCATGCTGTTCACAAATGCATGCTGTACAAACTGCACATAAAACACATTTTGCAAATGCTTAAAATCGATTTTTCATGTGCAGTTCTTTAGAAAGTACGTACACATTGTTACCTACGCATGCGTGGATCGTCTAACACACACAAATCACCTTCCGCGCACACACGAATTTTTGAGAGTGTTTTTCCGCACTCTCAAAAGTCCACGATCCACGAATGCACGGTGCGTTTAAGGACACGTGGAAAACTCGGACATCTGAGTTTCCAAACCTGTTTCC